TCACAGCTCACAGCAACCTCCAACTCCTGGGCTCAAGCGATTCTCCTGCCTCCACCTCCCAAGTAGCTGGGACTACAGGCGCCCGCCACAACGCCTGGTTATTTTTTGGTTGCAGCCGTCATTGTTTGGCAGGTCCGGGCTGGATTCCAACTCGCCAGCTCAGGTGTACGTGGCTGGCGCCTTAGCCACTTGAGCCACAGGCTCCGCCGATCTTGCAGGAATTTTTTAAGGCCAGGAATGAAGACAGTCTTCCCTGAGGGGATTTTTGGACTGCTGGGTCGGGGGGCAGTTTACTACACAGGTAAACCTGCAGGCCAGGGTGTGTCCTCTGCCCCCCCAGCCAGACGTATCCTCTCATTCTATTAGGTGGGCAACAGTAGGGTGGTGACTTGGTTATCGCCATCACCAGACCAGGCCACTAAAAGCTAATATTAAGGTGTGTACCTTGGTGACCACCCAGATGACAAGTCCCCCTCCTTCATCACCCAAGCAATGTGCTCTGTCCTTGCAGCTCACAGGGCCATGTTCACTCCTGGGTCTCCCTAACCTGAGGGTATGCTATGGCATCCAGTTTTATAGCTCTCTGATACTTCAAACAAGATCTCAAAATGCTCATTAATTATTTTTTGTCATTCCCAAGGACAGTATAACTCAAATGACTCATTTGTTTGCTAAGGGAAGCAACCCTTAGGTCCATTTTATAGATGTGGAAACTAAGGACACACAGAGCTCTGGAGGCAGGACCGGAGCTGGAACCCAGGATGTCCCTCTGCCCCACCCTCTCCCTGCTGCCACTCAAGGGACATGCAGGGAAGGACAAAGGCAAGGTCCTCTGCACCCAGCCTTGGGGCCTGGTTTTCCTGCCAGGTTCAGGAGGAGCTGAGGATAGTCCAGAGGTCACTGAGGAGAGAGGCAAGGCTGGGGCAAGGCTGTCTCACTGGTCAGCCGGTGCCTGCTGTATGCCAGGCCCTGGGTCTCCCTGCCGGCTCTGGTCCCAGACCAGTGCAGCCTTGTGGGCTCTGAATGGCCATGCGCCTATAGGCTGACCTCTAAAGCCGCCCAGACTACACTCAGTTCTTCACATGGCCTGGGCTCTCCTGCCTCCACCTACAGGGCTCTATGAGCTCAGAGTGGGGTAACGGAGACTGTGGTTCATCCTTGCTCGCCTAGGAGCAGCTAGGACCTTGATGGGGTCACTGTAAGGGTGGGTGAAGCTTGAGACTGGGACACCAGGAGGGCCAGGCTCCCTAAGATTCTCCCTAGGGCAATGACCTCCTGGGCCCTGGAGCCTCTGCACAGAGTCCTAGAGGGCCATTGTCTCCTCCACAGCCTGGAGGCAGCTGTCATTGACTCAGTTCTACAGGTGTAGACTGAGGCTCCAGAAGACAGAAAGTTTCAACCCAGGTCCCAGAAGCCTGTGTTCCGTCAAAGTCCTGCTCTGCTCAGGGCAGGGCTCAGGCTTCCCTGCTTTGTGAGTTCCTAAAGGGTGCTGCAGATTCACGCAAGGCCTCTCAGGAGGGAGGGGCCTGCTCAGCAGACCTGGCATTCTCCCTTCCTGCCTGTAGGAGCTGGGCCCCAGGTCTGGAGGACAGCAGTGGGGGTGCTGGAAAATTCCACCTCCCTTGGCTGGAGTCCAGCTTCCTTGTTTTTTTTTTT